AGCCTCTCCTTTCCTTTGGCCGCACGCCCTCCTTTCGCCGGCTTTCGCTTATCCGTTTTGCCGCCTCTTGGGCTGGCTTCTGTCAGCCCCTCTCCGGCCCCCCGGGCCCCTCCTCGCTGAGGGCTGCCCAGTCCACCCTGCTTGGACTGCCTTCTCTGCCGCCGCCGATTCTGGCGCGCCGCCCGGCTTGCAGGCTGTCGCGGCCCGAGGAGTGGATTTTCACGGAGTTTTCAAAGCAAGACTTTAGGATGAAAGTGATATCATGATGTGGGGAGCTCAGGATAGGCCCCAAGAGTTCTAGCGTATCTGGCAGCCCTCGTTTCTGGAACACGTGCGGAACAGCCCTGGTGATCTTGGAACGCATCATTGCCATGGTTTCCTGATCCTTTGCTTGGGACCACCGAGGCTCTCGAGATGCCGCAACCAGAGGCAGACAGAGCCCGCGCGCAAGAGTCCACGCGAGGGGACCAGGAGGGGCTGGGGGCCAGAGCACTCCAGAAAGCACTACATGTTCGTTGCCGCAAAACCGAAAACTCAACTTCTGGAGAACAAAAAAAAAACAAAAAAACATCTGGCTGCTCAAATTGTTCGTTGCGGTGCGCCCCGGAGGACTGGACCAATTCCCTGGGGCTGGTTTGTCGCCCCAAATCGTTTTTTCATGGTCCCGAGGCCCGGCGAGGACCCCCTGAGGCCGAAAACGGCTATCAAACACCCGCTCCAAATTGTGTTGGAGCGTCGGATCTCTGGGAAGCCAGCTTCGAGCTTCGCCCACTCGAGATGCCGCAGCCGAGACCGAGCGCTGGCAGCGCGTCGCAAACGGGCACCCCGGCCTGGGGCCGAGGAGCGCACCGCCCGCCGCGAAGCCTCGACGCGAATCGACGCCAGATGACGCTAAATCGGCGCCATCTCTTCAATTACCAGGCGCCCATCGACGGCAACGCACTCTCAAGACGGAATTACGACGGCACACAAGGCTCCCATGATTTGATACTGGAGGCCGCCGAAACTCGAGATGCCGCAGCCAAGACCGAGGCAGCGCACGCAGAGCGCCGGCGGCGCGTTGCGAACCGTCTTACGTCGCAACGTGGCAAAGGCAGTCCGCACGCGCGCTCAGGCGGTCCGGGCAACGGAAAGCACAAATTAAGCGATGGAGGGAGAGGGGGAAGACAGGCGAAGCGACAGCGGGGCGGAAGGAGGGAGGGAGAGCGCTCACACGGCGGGTGCCACCGCGGAGCGGCCGGGGCGGCCAGCCGGTGCTGCATCCCTGGCAGCGTGACCGAAGCAGCACACGCAGAGCGCTGGCGGCGCGCTGCACAAACAGGCCACCCTGGCGCTGGGGCCGAGGAGCGCCTCCGCCCCTGAGCCCGCAGGCTCGGCTCGAGAGGCGGGCGCTCTGCGAGTGAAAGGGGGACGAGGACACGGACCGGAAAACAAACGGCGCCGCCCCCGCTACGGCCCCACGGGGCTCAGCGTATACCAGGAGATCTGGCGTGGGCTGTTGCGTGGCATCTGGGACGCTACGGCGGCCGATGGGCCGTAGCGCGACATGGAGGGGGGTAGGTGGGGTGGGGTCTTTTGTTTTTGGTCGAAGGACAGCTCGAGCCGAGGAGGGAAGAGGGAGGAGGGAGGAGCGAGAAGGATGAGGACATAGCTTCGACGAACGACGAGCAAACGGTTCTGACAGCCGCCTCGGCTGGATGCGAGTCGAAAGAGGATGACGATAAGGATGAGGATGAGGACGAGGATGAGGACGAGGACGAGGACGAGGACGAGGACGAGGATGAGGATGAGGATGAGGATGAGGATGAGGATGAGGATGAGGAGGAGGAGGAGAAGGAGAAGGAGGTGCGCTCCAGCCTAATCGCTCCAGTCCGCCCAACGTAAGAGAAAAAAAAAGGAGGAGGAGGAGGAGAACGAGGATGACTAGGAGGATGAGGGGGGCGAGGTAGAAGAGGAGGGGGAGGAGGACGTCGAGTAGGGTAGACAGCACCAGGCAGCGACGGCCCGTCGAGGCACCCAAACGGCTGATAGCCCCAGGCGGCGGCGGGACGACGAGGCATCCCGCCGCGAGAGCCCCACGTCGCGACCTCAGCTTCCACAGCTGAGCGGCTACTCTCGCGCCCCCGCGCCCCTGCGCCGCCCCCGTGGGAAACGGCAGCCGCTCTGGCCCAGACCGCGATGCGCGAAGCGCGATTACGCCCCCGCGGGTGACCAGAAAACGGTCTTATGCCAGTCGACACAGCGACCTTACGCAGTGGCTCACGCCGGCCGCCAGCGTGGCACGCCACAGTGGAGACGAGGGCACTCACGCGCGACCTTGAGCGGGCAGCTCACGCGCCAATGTCGGTGCAGACGACCCCGTTTTCGGCGTTGCTCAGCTGGTTTGCAAGGCCAGCAGCCCTTCCTGAGAGATGACACTAGAAGAATGACCCCCCTCCCTGGCGCGCGGAACGCGCCCGGGGGACCCTCCCTGGCGTAGATACTAGAAATCCGCGCGGACCGCCGAAAGTGTATGTTTATGCCGTTTCTTCGTCTTCTACGTAAAAGTATTATTGGTACTATCGTTATTGCCATTATTGCGATTGTTGAATCTACCACTAATGATGTGTTTTGTAGTTTCTCTATTCCTATCAGGTGTTGTTAATCTAACGCCTTTCCTGATTACCAATATGACTCTTCAAGAAAGGGGAGACACCACGGCAAAGGCGCGCTGGATTGCTGAGGCGCCTCCAGCCCCAAGTCCACAAGCCTGCGCAACAGCCACATGACCTGGGCCGCGATGGTGCCAGCCGTCCCGTTCTGCCTTTTCCAAGCACGTGGAGAATGGATGTCCCAGTAAGAAGCACGGCTCATGCCCTTCTGCAATTGGGTCATACGAGGGAGACGCTGTCAATGCCTCGCTCTCCTAGGGCTTTGCTGTGTTCTTGCTCGCTAGCATTTGCAACGTGTGCGGAGCTGCACTGTCGATGCCGCGCTTTCCTGTGGCTTTGCTGCGCCCCTGCTCGCAACGCACACCGCCAGAGGCGGCGGAGAGCTTGAGAGATCCACCCACAAAAAGGGTCATACGAGGGCGACGGTCACGGGCGAGTACACGGACAGCTGAAACTCCCCAGAAGACCGTGGGACGGCATCCAGACCGACTCAAGACACGCGGTGGGCGCACAGAGAATCAAGCATGGGATCGACTGCAGAGTTGATTTGACCCAACAAATGATGTCTTTGTCTAATATCAGCCATCGTTGACTCCAAGTAGATAGGAGGACAGGAGGAGGACGAGAGGAGGATGGCAAGAGGACGAAACGAGGACGGGAGTAGGACGGGAGGAGGACGGGAGGAGCAAAATCAAGCAAGCACAAAAAAGCAAGTGGAAGCAAGCAAGCGCAAGCGAACAATAGCAAGCAAGCAAGCAAGAGCCAGCGATCAAGTGCAAGCAAGCAAGGGCAAGCAAGAGCAAGCAAGCAAGAGTAGGCATAGGCACAGGCACAGGCACAGGCTTAGGCATAGGCGTAGGCATAGGAGTTAGGGGGAGACATAGGCATAGGCATAGCCATAGCCATAGGAATGAGGGGGGGCATAGGAATTAGGGGGGGGCTTAGGAATTAGGGTTTGAATTAGAACTCCTGTGGGGCAAGCCCAGTTGGAGAATCTCAAATTGCTCCCCGACACTCCAGGACAGCCGAAGAGGCATCGCCCCCAGACGGCCCAAGAGGGCTTCAAGAAGGTCCCAAGACGGCCCAAGATGACCCCAAAACGGCCCAAGAGGCCTCCAAGACAGCCCAAGATGGCCCCAGGACTGCCCCAAGAGGGAGCCCAGACGGGGAACCCGAACGGACATTTCGAGCCCAGCCTCCAACATCGATCCAAGACAGCCCAAGAGACTTCCAAGAGGGCCTCCAAGCAGCCCAAGAGGGCCGCAATACGGTCCCAACAGGCCCAAGAGCCCTTCAAGACCACCTCGGAAAGCCTCCCAAGAGGCCCCCAAGAGCTCCCAAAAAAAACCCGAAAGCTCTGGACATTTCGAGCCGGACTCTCCAGATCCGCAAAGACCCCCAAGAGCTCCCGAAGAAGCGCCCAAAGGGGCTCCACGAAGCCTCCAGGGAACTCCAAGAAACTCCCAATCGGCTCAGAAGGCCTCCCAAGAAAGACTCCCAACTCTTGGATCACAACTACTCTCCCGCAGGAGCTCCCGAGTGCTCTCAGAAGAGACAGCAAGACGCATCCATGAGCTCTCTGAGATGCCCCCACTGATCCCCAACACCCCGTTTTTCTCCACCTCCAATACCCTTCGTTCCTCCTCTTCGTTCTCCTCCTGCCCACGCCACGGCTCTCCGCACCGATCTGCACGATTCGCGGACTGGGTACCAGGCTACCTGTTGAAAAACTACCCTCGTCAGCGGAACATCGCGGACGCAGGGATCCTTCCCCTCCTCTGCTTCTCCTTGCCCTACTCCATTGCCCTCTCCTCCCCTCCCTTGTGTTGGCCTTCTCTCTTTCCGACATCTGTCCCTTCCTGTCTCGTTTCTGTTGTTGATATTTCGTTTTCGTTCCTTTCTCCTCTCGTTCCTCCTCCTTGCCCTCCCCCTCCTCCTCCTCCTCCTCCTCCTCCTCCTCCTCCTCCTCCTCCTCCTCCTCCTCCTCCTCCTCCTCCTCCTCCTCCTCCTTCCTCCCTCCTCCTCCTCTCCTCTCTCCTCCTCCCTCTCCTCTCCTTCTCTCCTCCTCCTCCTCCTCTCCTCCTCCACTCCTCCTACTACCTCCTCATTCTCCTCCTTCCCCCTTTTTCCCCCCCCCCTCCTCCTCCTCCTCATCCTCCTCATCCTCCTCCTCCTCCTCCTCCTCCTCCTCCTCCTCCTCCTTCCCCCTTCCTCCCCTCCTCCTCCTCCTCCTCCTCCTCCTCCTCCTGCTCCTCCTCGCTCATCACGAGCACGCCAACGTCTAGCACCATCGATACAATATGGGCCGGCGGAGTGAGCGAAGCGATCCAATATACTCCGAATGCTCTTTAGATCTACGGCGCATTCTACGTATGTTTCGTAGATTCGATGTACAAACCAGTTCTGGGGAAAATACATGTTGCAGTCGATCCCGTACTCGAACAAAGCCACGCCAAAGATCAAGAAAAGCCGCACATAACGATCTAGCAGCTAGCCAGCCTCTAGGGAATTGCTTCGAACATCCCGCACCTCAGACGGCCGTGCCGGGGGCACTCCCGAAGCTCCCGAGAACGCGCTGCCGCTGCCTGGGAGGCCTCCTGGGCCGCCTCCTGGGCCTTCTTGAAGCAACCCAGGCGCCTCTCGGAACACGGCACTCCTGGAAGCTCTTGCAGCACACGTCGGGTCGGATGGAACCACGACCCACCAGGGGGGTTCGTGAACCGTCTGGGCAATGGTCTGGAGCCTTCTGGGAACGCTTCAGGAGCACCGCTGGGCCGTCAGGGGCCTCTGCACGGAGCGTCTGGGGGATCAGATCATTGGCCCTCGAAGCCCCTTCCGACGCCTGCGAAGCGCAACTCCCTGACAGGACTGAGCCAATTACGTGTTCCGTTGGTGCCCTGCTGGGTAGGGCGACCAATCATGGAATCGGAAAGCGAGGGTCAGAAAGCATAAAACACAGGCAGAGAAAACAGAAGGGGAAGGCGGAATGCGAGCACACTGTCTCGGAGTCTGCAGTCTCCATCCAGGCACCACATAACCTACCCTTGAGCTCTCCATCTGTGCCTTGTAGAAATTCACTCTCGTCCTCCTCCTCCTCCTCCTCCTCCTCCTCCTCCTCCTCCTCCTTCGCCCCTCCTCCTCCTCCTCCGCCTCCTCCTCCTCCGCTTCCTCCTCTTCCTCCTCCTCCTCCTCCTCCTCCTCCTCATCCTCCTGCTCCTCCTCCTCCTCCTCCTCCGTCGCCCCCTCCTCCTCCTCCTCCTCCCCTCCTCCTCCTCCTCCTCATCCTCCTCCTCCTCCTTATCCTCCTCGTCCTCCTCTTCCTCCTCCTCCTCCTCCTCCTCCTCCTCCTCCTCCTCTTCCTCCCCCTCCTCTTCGTATTAGTAGCATTCTTATTCTTAGCAGTAGTAATTGTTATTCGTATTATTCTTACTCGTATTATTATTCTTATTATTCGTATTATTAGTGACGTTATTATCATTCGTATTATTATTCTAATGTTATTATTATTAGTATTAGCATCATGAGTATGATTAGTAGTATTAGCCATCGTAATATTACTACTAATATGGTTTTAGTCTTATCAGTATTAGTATAATGCTCACTAATATGATGCTTAGTAAAATCCGTGTTCGTCCGCTTCTTATTTTTCTTACGTTTAGTAGAATTAGTATTCGTACTATTATTCGTATCATTATTGCTAATCATGTTTGTCGTAGTATTATTCGTATTAGTGTTGCTAATATTATTTCTGTTCTTAGTATTACTATCACTACTGTTAGTATTTGTATGATTCGTAATAGTATTACCAACATTCTCCATAGTATCCGTAATAGTCTTATTAATATTAGCCTTAGTATTACTATCATTAGTATTAGCGATACTATTCTTACTCGTAATATCAAAATATGAATCATTACTATTAGTTTGTCATTCTTATTTTATTCGTGTTAGTATTAGTAGTATTGGTAGTATTAGTCTGATAAGTATTATTATTACTGATACTATTACTACTACTAGTAGTAGTGTTATTATTGTTCGTGGTATTATTATTACTAGTATGTTGTGCATTCGTCTCGGTATTATAACTGCTCTTAGTAATAGCGCAAATGGTACTTTTCATAGTAGTATTATAAATCGTCCTATGATTAGTATTATTAGTATTATGTTGACTCGTCTTCTTCTACGCATTATTATTGTTTGTATTATCATTAGTGTTTTTATTATTAATATGGTTATTCATAGTATTCGTATATTTCTCATTCGTATTATTACTAATAATGATAATAATATTATTATGATTCGCCCTCTTATTAGTATTAGTATTTCTCCTCCTCCTCCTCCTCCTCGTCCGCCTCCTCCTCCCCCTCTTCCTCCTCATCCCTCTCCTTCGCCCCTCCTCCTCCTTCTCCTCCGCCGCCTCCTCTTCCTCCTCCTCATCCTCCTCCTCCTCATCTTCCTCCCCTCTTCCTCCTCTTCCTCCTCCTCCAATTCCTCCTCCTTCGTTTCCTCCTCATCCTTGTCCTGTTCCTCCTCCCCCGCCTCCTCCGCCTACTCCTCCTGCTGCTCCTATCCGCAGCCACCGCCTCGGCGCGGCGCTCGCGGCCGCGCTCGCGCAAGCGCCCGCGGCGGGCCCTGAGGAGGTCAGTTGCGTTCCTGGCGGTGGCGGTGCTGCTGCCGAGGGCGATGGCGGCCCAGGCGCGCCCGCAATCGCCCCCCCCCCCTCTCCCTGGGCCTCGCGGTCGTGGCGACAAGGATCGCGCTGTCGGCGGGGCCGCCCCGAGCGCCCTCGAGTCCCTCTTGGAGGTGCCGCAGGAGCCAGTCAAGGCGGTGGCACAGGCGACGGCCACCCTGGTCGAGCCCTCGGCGACGCTGGCGATGCAGGCTGGACGCGGCAGTGCCGCACAGAGCTGGGAATCCAGCGCGGAGCGGGCTCGGCTCCTCGGCGACGCCGACGTCCTGCATGGCGGTGCGCCGAGGCGCGAGTTCAGGCCCCCACGGGGGATGACTGTCCAGCAGGGAGGCGCGACGGGGCCGAGGATCGACTGGCGCGCTGCGCACGGGGCTCCGGCGACGGCCCCGGGCTCGACCCCAGCAGACCGCAAGCAGAGCTGACCCCAG